AGTATAAGCTTTTCCTACAGTGCCCCATCGACAAAAATCTGGAGCTAGTGTCCTCAAAGAGAGGATATAAGAGCTTGTACTCGTGGGCTTTTTAATCCTTCAACTGTGAGAAGGCCAAGGAAAAGGCAAACTGGCATAAACATCAAGAGCAACTTTTGTAAAGTGGCTTTCTCACAAGGAACTGAGTGAAATTCAAGTACTCATATCATACAGCCAGTCATCAGATGCCATTGACAGCCTCTGCTGTCCTGGATCTTATCCAAAAAACTGACCTAGAGATGAAAGGCTTCATATCCTATTACCAGAGTTCCCAGGCCAACTAATCCTAACTCCCTCAAACATCTAATCTAACCTGCTTTTAAATCTCCATCATGACTACTACTAAGGGGCATTATATTTTCACTGCTGAATTGCTCTTGGAACACAATTCCTTCGCCTCAAAGTTTCTCCCCCCTTCGCTTATTCTCACGTTATTTCTGAGTTACAGAGTCATTTGGTTTCATTTGTACTGTGCCCCTACAAGGGTATAATGCCTATCAATCTCCTTCCTCTTCCACAGTGGAAGACTGCATTAGATTCTGTGGTTCTTAATCTGCTTTAGCGCCAGGTGGCTTTGTTCTCCATTTCTTGCGCTCCTAGAGTCGCGGAAAGCTTGAAGAAGTCAGATTCTGAAAAATACCTCTTTCTTCTTCCTGCTTTGAAGTGATCAGGCTGATCATTTTACATTACAAACAGGTTACAAGGAACCCATCAAGTCATTACTGCTTCAGTGACTTAAAATGTTGGCAGTAAATGCCCTGCAATAGCATACATTTGTGTGGCAATCTATTTGAGCACTTATCTTTATAAATATTTTTTGATTCATGCTTGCAACAAAGAAGTAACTCTTACCATCTGAGAGCAGTTTGGCCAAGTTCCTGCCAGAAGTTAGTGGTAAAGCAAAATAGTATCCAATTCCCAAATCCAAACTGTACCCTCTAGTCACACACCAATGTCCTCAAGCAACTATATGCAAAAGCTATACTTACATTTTTCACACAGCCTTCCAATTGCTGTAAGATGAAAAAGAAAAAAAAATTATTTGGGGAAGAAATACAGATAGAAAACAAATGAATAGAGACCTGATGTAAAGTCCCTTTTGTTTCAGGTACTGAACAGCCTTTAAAAACAAACAAAAACCCCAAAATGTGTAAAATAAAGACTGCTTATGATAAATAATATCTCATATTTGCCGAGATCAAAGGTTAGATTCCCTGCCAATGCTCAATGACCCCCTTCATATTGACAGTAAAAAACCTACCTAATCATTTAAACATATCCAATAAACCCGACTATGGAAAATCCTATGCACAAGTCTTGGCCTTTCTACTGGTTATAATGAGATTTAGATCATGGTTAAGAGAGCAAAAAAAAAAATAAGCATTTGATTGATTGATAAGAATGCACATTTATTCTGTTCACTTCAAAACACAAAGCTAGTTAAATGAATCTTAAAAATCTTATCACTTGTCTAGGAAACTCACAATACTGTTATTTTTTCAAATAGGTCATAAATATCAAGTTCTAAAGGGTTGTAAGTCCAGGTGCTCACTTCAACAAGGATTAAATAGCCACTCAGTTGAAGTCTGAGGAGTTGAGAGGTTCATCATGCTAGAAAAGGAGTCTTCAAGAGAGCCAGACCTTTAGGTGCACTACCTATTCTAAAAAGAGATTGTCTAAACACAGTGTAACCTTATAATCTTGCTTTCAATTTTATATCAGGAAAAAAAGAAGTCAAGCAATCTTACAAGGAGGAAATTTTTTTCAAGAGTGAACTTGACTTCTAATTCTGAAAACACTTTTAAGTAAGATTTGGCAGAGCAAATTGACCCAAATGAAAACAGTAACATTTATTATTTGCACATCGTTATAAAACAGAGAATAATATTATCTTGCAACTTGAAAGAAACTCCCAGTGTTGGCTGAAGCCTCAGCCTCATCCACCAGGCTGCCCTGACCTGGCCTATGCCACAGGATCAGAGAACATCAAAATGCTACTTTCTTTCCTCTCAATAAAAATAGCAACTTTATCCCTCTTTCCACTAATTTGAAGAATAAAATGTAATAATTAGATATTCATCAAAGGCATCCAGCTGCATTTACAGGGGTCCAGGGGCTGGACCTGCACTTCACAGCAAACCATCTAGGAGAGGGGACAACAGCAAGGAGCCTTCATGACCCATATGTACCCGACTTGGCTTTTCCCAAACGCCAATTCCTTGCAAAACCGTTTCTCAGGGTAGAAACGGCTCGATAAAAGAGAAAACTCACAAATGAAAAAAACAACAATAATAACACTAACAACGAAGGAGGAGGAGGCTGCAGTCCGGGAACTGCAGCTGCCCTGCGAAGGACTCCCAGGCCCTCGCCCTCTTCGCCCCTCCCCCGCGCCAGGCCTAACGCCTCCCAACGGCTCCTAACGGCCGCCAACGGCCACCTGCGCCCCCCCCGGCC